CCTCCCCCTCCTCCTCCTCCTTCTCCTCCAACTCCAACTCCAGCTCCTCCTCCTCCTCCTCCTCCTCCTCCTCCTCCTCCAACTCCTCCTCCTCCTCTTCCTCCTCCTCCTCCTCCTCCTCCTCCTCCTCCTCCTCCTCCTCCTCCTCCTCCCTCTCTTCCCCCCCTCTCCCCTTTTCAAAATGGGAAGCGGGAGGAAGAGAGGGACAAGGCGGACGAGGAAAAAGGGGAGGGACCAGGGAGCCCAGCGAGCGAAAGAAAGAGATGGAAAAAACATTGAGGACAGGAGAACAACGAACAAGAGAGAAAGAAGAAGCGGAGGAGTACCAGCACCGCTGTGAAGACGGGGGGGAGCAACAGAAGGAGGGCCCTTTTCCCCACGGCGCACGATATCATCACACCCCCAGACACAAGTGTACATCGTGCAACTGATTTCTATATTTACTATAGTTAATAAAACACGATGAACAGGTCAAGCTGCGACAGGCGAGCCTCCAAATGGCCGCTAGGCAAGAAGACAAACTGGCGCCAGGAGCAGCTAATATATAAGCTGTGTGTTTGCCGACGGGCGCTGGCCGCACAATGTTCGAGCGAGCATGGGCCGGCCTGTGGTCTCGTCAGCGCCATCGCCGAATGGTCCACGTCTGGAGCCCCAGCAGCCCTGGCCGAACGGGAGGCTCCAGAAGGCGCCAAAACCTCCCTAAAAGGGAGACTTCGGCCTCCACTCCGACACGAGGAGGCCTCCTAGATGGGGCCCGAGTAGATGGGGTCGGAGGATCTCGCCGCATCGCCGATGCATCGGCGATGCATCTGCGATGCATTGGCGACGTCGGCGATGCAGGGGCGACGTCGGCGTGGAGAAAATTGGGCCCCACATCGAGCCGCATCGCCGATGCATCGCCGATGCATCGCCGATGAGGCACGATCCTTCGACCCCGTTTGCTCCGACCCCATCCAGGAGGCCTAGAGACACACGGTGGGGCATTGGATGAGGAACCCTTGGGTAAGGAACCTAGGGTCTGCAAGCCCGTGAAGCACCAAACGAGGCTTGACCATGGATGCCGCCGCCACTCCTACCAGATAGGAAAAACCCTCCAGGGCCTGAAGCCTCCTGGGCATACGCATTCCCTGGCAGACGCCCCCAGCGCATCCGACATGTGCTATGGTAATCCCCCGCTTTGCCTACGCCGGCAGCAGAAACAAACCTGCAACAACACGAAGACGTTCGGGGCTCTGCGCGCGGATCTCTTGGATCGGCGCTGGAGCCGCTGGCGGCGCCTCCGTCGCCGCCCCTGGCGCGCTGCGCGCGCCAGGGAGGGGGGCCCAGCGCCGATCCAGGAAGATCAGCGCGGACCGCCAGAAGCTTTGACTGCCTACCACACCACCCCAACCCAACCCGAAGACCCGAATTTCGGGTTGGGAGGGTACGGGCTTCATGCGTGATTGTTCGATTTTTACCGACCCCTCCCCCACTGGAAATGGAGGGCAGATTGGGGCCTTCGGGTTAGGCTGGGGTAGTTTAGAGGGTGGTGAAGCTTGAAATGCTTGTGCCGTTGCTTCTTCTCTGGGTCAGGGGGGCCTCACTGGCCCCGCCTCGCCTGATGGGCCAATTCTCCACCACCACTACCATAGGTAGGAGAGGGAGGAGGAGGAGGAGGAGGAGGAGGAGGAGGAGGAGGAGGAGGAGGAGGAGGAGGAGGAGGAGGAGGATCTCCCCATCCTCTCTTCTCCCCCGTCCTACCCATGGTAGTGGTGGTGGAAAATGTTGGCCCCGCCTCGCCTCCTCGGCCCGGTACCTCTGCATCACCAGCTGTAGCGCATCCGGCGAAACGCCACTGCCCGGGGCCCGCAGCTGCGCCAAGGCCCTCTCGGGGTCCGCCGCCGTGTGCATGTACTCCACGAGCCGGCTGATGATGGCCTCTCGGGGGCCAGGACTGACCCGAGCACAATCTGCGAGCACGTGGGCGATGACGGAAACCCTGAGCCCAAAAGCGTGTTCATCTCTTGGGGGCGCATCTTCTACTTCCGCGGCGTTCCGCCAAGGGCGGCCTCGTTTTACTTCCGCCGATATTCCGCCGCCCTTCCGCCGCCTTCCGCCGAGGAAGAGACAACACCTCCTTCGATCCTCGAAGGCAAGGCCCTTTTTGGAATGCCTCATGTGCTCCCGAACCGTTTACGAACCGTTCGTTTTGGGCATGTGCTCTTCCCCCTCCACCGAGCGGCCGTGGACAAAGCCTTCGCGGCCCTGGAGTTCGCGAGCGGAGCAGATGGAGGAGGAGGAGGAGGAGGAGGAGGAGGAGGAGGAGGAGGAAGAGGAGGAGGAGGAGGAGGAGGAGGAATGAAACGCAGGAGGAGGAGGAGGAGGAGGAGGAGGAGGAGGTTCCGAACCGCTGACGAACCGTTTGCGGACCTCCGAACACGAACCTGCCCATTTCCACCCGCGCAGCGCATGGCACCACTCGTGCCACGGGCGACCGCGCCGCATCGCCGGCACGACAGCCCCCCAACTGTTCGCCCCAGAGTACACCCTGCGAAATGCTTAAGAAATCATGGGTTAAGAAATTCAAAGTCTCAGAACTTGAATAAAAACCCAACATTTCCATTAAAATCTCAAGATTTACATTGAAACGTTAAGAATGATCAAGACTCTGGCCGAAAACTTAAGTTTTCTTAAGCATCGCCTAAGGTGTAAGGCTCCCCCCCCCCGGGAGCCCTCTGGGCCTCGCGAGGGCTGCTCGGGCAGGCCGTCTGGGCCTGCCAGCAAAAGAGGGCCGGGGATCCCACCGAGACCGGCGGGGCCCCTCTCGGCAGCACGGGGTCAGAAGGCAGCGGGTCCTGGGCTCCCATGGACCCCAGGGCAAAGACCAGTTGGCCATCCCGAGCCCGTTGTTGACGGTCCTGGGGCCTGGGGAAGGAAGGCCCCGAGAGCCCGAGAACGGCGACGACAGCCTCGGGACCCGCTCTCATCAGGACCCGCGCCATGCAGGAGTGACCCCACAGGCAAGAGTGACCTCAGGTGCGCGGCCACAGGGGACCGCGGGGAGGCCAAATCCAAGCGAGTAAGCCAGTGTTGGGGGACCCCATGAGGGCCCGCACTAAAGGTCCCTCTGGCGACTGGCGAAGGTTCCCTCCTGCGGTGGGGAACTTTTAGTCAACGTGTCGCCCCGCTGGTTCTTGCCCACCGCGCTTCGGCGCGACACGCTATCCACTTCCCGGCCCACAGGCGTCATTGTCCCGAGCTTCTCCCAGCCTCCCGCCCCACGGAGCAGAACGACACAGTCTCCGCTTCCATGTCATGGCGCGTCGCCGGGACCACCGCCGCGACACGCCAAGCACAAGTTCCTGACCGTACGTGTACCCAGAGGGCCCTGGGAAAAGCCCAGGAGGGCCCCAAGACGGCTCCAAGGGGGCCTCAATACGACTCCAATGAAGCCCCGAGATCGGTCCCCCAGACGATTCCAAGAGGGCCCAGAGACGGCCCCAAGACAGCTCCAAGAGGTCGTCGTCGTCGTCGTCGTCGTCGTCGTCGTCGTCGTCGTCGTCCTTCGTCGTCGTCGTCGAATTCCATGTGTTTTTCCCGTGCGGCCCCCCTGAACGGGCAAAACAACTAGGGTTTTTGCACATTGCGACAGGAAGCGCTTGTCGCGCGCATTCACCGCCAACGCGCCGAGGCAAGGGCTCTAACGCAAAACTGTTGAAATTCCTGTGGGTTTTTGACTCATCAGGGGGGCCGCACGGGAAAAACACATGGGAAAGTTGCCGTCGTCGTCGTCGTCGTCGTGATGCCCCACGGGGGACACCGGGTAACTCCGATGTCCCGCTGGGACCACCGGGTAACTCATGCCCAGACCCCCCATGCAAGGTCGAGCCACCCGATGTCCCCCGGGGACCACCGGGTAACTACGATGTCCCACGGGCCGATGTCCCACAGGGACCACTGGGTCACTCCGATGTCACCTGGGGGACACTGGGTAACTCCGATGTCTCTCGGGCTGATGTCCCACGGAGACCACTGGGTAACTCCGATGTCAACCGATGTCCCACGGGAGACACCGGGTAACTCCGATGTCCCACGGGCGATCCGATGTCTTGATTTGTTCAATACGGGGTCCCCAGACGCCCCGACCCATTCCTGGGGACTGGCTCTTTATCCTGAATCGTTCGCTTGACGACCCCGGGGCCCAACGTTGACCTCTATAGAGGCCGAAAACGGCGAAACATATCCGCCTTGCTTCCCTCATACGTTGGATCCCTGGGCAGCCGACTCTTGGCTGCACTAATCGCCTCCTAGATGGGGTCGGAATAGGTACGGTCGGTGGACTGCGCCGCATCGCCGATGCATCGCCGAAGCAACCACGGTGCATCGGCGACGTCGGTAACGCATCGGCGTCGCCAGCGTGGAGAAAGTCGCGCTTCGCATCGAGTTGCGTCCCCGATGCATCGGCGATGCGGCACGATCCTTCGACCCCGTCTACTTGGACTCCATCTGGGAGGGCTAGAAGCGGTGTTGCTGGAAGCTATCCTGGCCCAAGGTGCCCCCAGGATTGCCGAGGAGGCCCCCACGGCCTCCAGAGCATCCCCTCGCGAGGCCCAGAGGGCCCCAGGGCCCCAGGGGCTCCCACATTGAGCCAAAAGCTGGGTGCATCTTGGGCCAGGGACACCGTCAATAGAAGCAGAAAATCAGCACAGACATAAACTTTTGGCGCTCCGCGCGGATTTCTTGGATCTGCGCTGGACCCCCCTCCCTGGCGCGCGGAGCGCGCCACGGGCGGCGCCGGAGGTGCCGCCAGGGGGTCCCCAGAGCGGATCCAAGAAATCCGCGCGGAGCGCCAACAGTTAATGTTTATGCAGTTTTTTCTTCTTCGATTCAGCAGCCCCAAACTCGAACAGGGGCCTGGCTCCTCCTCCTCCTCCTCCTCCTGCTTCTCCTGCTCCTCCTCCTCCTCCTCCCCCTCCTCCTCCTGCTCCTCCTGCTCCTCCTCCTCCTCCTTCTCCTCCTGCTCCTCCTGTTCCTGGGTCCTCCTCCTCCTCCTCCTCCTCCTCCTGCTGCTCCTCCTCCTCTCCTCCTCCTCTTCCTCTGCTCCTCCTCCTCCTCCTCCTCTCCTGCTGCTCCTCCTCCTCCTCCTCCTCCTCTCCTCCTCCTCCTCCTCCTCCTCCTCCTCCTCCTCCTCCTCCTCCTCCTCCTCGAGAGCCAGGGCCTCCGACATGGGGCCGCCGGGGGGCCCCTGCAGGGCGCCCGGCGGAGGCGGCGGGGGCGCCGCGCGCGCGGCTCCGGGCGGGCCGGTGAGCGGCTCCCTCACGCTGGGCGGCGGGGGGGGCGGGGGCGGCGCGTGCCTGGCGGGCGCGCCCGCGCGCCTGCGGAGGGAGAGCGCCAGCTAGCCATCGTGACGCTGTAGCCCAGAGGTCCAACGCATGGGAAAAGTCAAGAGATGGAGGTTTGTCGCCGTTGTCGGCCTCCAGGGGCCCTCGCCGGGCCCTGGGGCAATCAGAACATGATTCAGGATGAAAAGCTAGTCCTGGGGAATGGTTCGAGACTTCCGGGGACCCAGTATTGAGAACATCCAAACTTCGGATCTCTGGGAAGGAACGCCGCGAAAGGAACGACGGACATGTTCTTGCTGCTGGGCGATCGACGTTTTGTCCATGCCCCTGCTCGAGCGCCGACCCCACGAGGGGCTAGGGCGGCAGCACGCATTCTGGCCTCCAGCAGCAGCTCTTTTTGTCGACGCATTGCCTCCCCCCCTTGGCGCTCGAGGAGTGGGGTGCTGCAGAACGGGTGCGGATCGAGCGCCGATCGTCGGGTCGCTCCGCCCTGGACAGGGGCAGGCGCCTCGACCCAGGCTCGGGAGAGGGCCAGGGAGCCAGAGCCCCATCCTGAGCCCGAAGTGGTCTTTGTTCCAGCGTCTTGGCGGTGCAGGGGGGGGAAGAAGGAGGAGGAGGAGGAGGAGAAGGAGGAGGAGGACGAGGAGGAAGAGGAGGAGGAGAAGGAGGAGGCACGGCTCTTAGAGCCGTGACCCCATCTGGGAGTCCTAGGCTGGGCCTCCCAGATGGGGTCGGCGCAGACTTGGTCGGAGGATCGCGCCGCATCGCCGATGCATCGCCAATGCCACGTCGACGTCGCCGATGCATCGCCGACGTCGACGATACATCGCCGATGCATCGCCGATATATCGGCGATGCAGCGCGGTCCCCCGACCCCATCTACTCCGACCCCATCTAATGGCTCAGGGGGAGGGGGACATGCACTTGAAACCAGACATGCATCATCCATACATCGGCGGTGGGCCCTCGACAGCGAGGTCGCAGTGAGTTTGGTGGGACACGTGCACCCAGGCCCCGATTGGCGATGAATGGGCGGTTGGGGGGCGACGTTTACAGGAACAACGACTAACATAAACATTAACTTTCGGAGGTCCGCGCGGATTTCTTGGATCAGCGCTGGACCCCCCTCCCTGGCGCGCGGAGCGCGACAGGGGCGGGGCCGGAGGCGCCGCCAAGGGGAGGCTCCAGCGCGGATCCAAGACATCCGCGCGGACCTCTGAGAGTTTGTGAATTTATGTCGTGGTTTATTCCCCGAATGTTGCCCCACCCCCCTGGGCCCATCCTCCCCTGTTCGGCCGCGGCCTGACCGACCCCTTTCCGTGACGAGCACCTTCCGAGACGCCCCCCCCCCGCGCCCTCCAGGCCTCCCTCCGGCCGCACACGCACGTCTTGGGGTAAGGCGAGGGGGGCGTCAGTGAAGGGGAGTTGTTTTAAGCGGTCCGTTACAGTCAACCTGTATAGTAAAGATGCGCGATAAGGATGCAAAGGCCTTGGAAGGCCACGTCGAAGCTTTTCGAGCGGGGCGCGGCCAACGAAAGTGGCGAAGAATAGACCGAGGAGGCAAGGATGCAAGGGTACCCTTGGGAAGGATGCCCATCCTTCCTATGCGGGTTGACTGTAGTCTGCCCCTGCTACTACCTACAAGACCACCCCGACCCAGCCCGAAGACCCGAACTTGGGGATTGGGGGGGTACGGGTTCCATCTGCGGTTTTTTAATGCTCCCCGCCCGACCCCCCCCGGAAAGGGAGGCCAAATGGAAGCCTTCGGGTTGGGTTGGGGTGGTTTGGTGGGTGGTGACCTGCCCTGTCGGCGCCCCTGACCTGTACGGTCCGGTGTCCATGACGGCCCAGGGGTCCTCCTCCTGGGACGGCTGGCGCGGCGGCGGGGGCGGCGGTGGGCGCGACAGGGCGTCCTCCGCCGGCGGGTGGGGCTGGAACAGTTCGATCGCGCTCGCCTCCGCGCCCACGGACGGCTGCTGCGCTGGGGGGTCCAGCGCGTACCTATAGGGGAACATCAAACATTTTCGAAGGTCCGCTTCGCGGCAGGCGAAATACAGTAAAAGACCATAAAGATAATCCTTCGGCGCTCCGCGCGGATGTCTTGGATCGGCAGGAAACCCTTGGCGGCTCCTCCAGCGCCGCCTGTGGGGAGGGGGCCCAGCGCCGATCCAAGAAATCCGCGCGGCCCGCAGACAGTTGATTGTCATGCCGTTATCTGTTCCCGGAATACCCCGCCTGGCTCTCAGCGCGGAGATCTGGGCCCGACAGGGCTGGAGTAGCTTGGCCGTCCGCGGCCGCTGAGGCCACCGCCATCGATAGCGCAGCCTGCTGTTGTCGGGCTGCGGGCGGCACCTTGGTGTTGGACTGCGCCATGTCCGCCCACGGATCATCGGAGACCGCCTTCTCGAGCAGGGACCGACCGTCCCAGCATTTCTATAGGCCTACCACGACATGTTCGTAGAACCCCAACATGCTCTAATCACAAAGCAATGGTCTTAGAACATAAGCCTGATTTGTTAAGACAAGACAGTCTCAGCGAACATTTCGTGCAGACCACAAACGGTTCTTATATCATGTCTTGGTAGGCCTATAGACAAGCTGGGACGCTTCGCCACTGCTTGACCTTCTTCCTCTCGGAGGGTTCCTGCAGGGCCGCACTGGCTCTGCCACCCTTGCCGCCTTTCGCCGCCTGTCCCTCCACCGCGGGGCGCCCCGACTTGCCCTGCCCACGGACACCAGAGGCGCCCTTGCCGCCGCCGGGGCCCGCTGAACTCCTCGGCGCCGGTGGCGCCACGTGCACGAACTTGCACCTCTCGCCGCGCGGGCACGCGTTGCAGTCCGGAGGGTCCCTCTGCATGCCCGCGGCGTAGTCCCAGCACACGTCGCGCCCTCCCGCCGCCAGCTTCGCACCCTTGCCCTTGGGCCGCCCGTCGAGCGAGACCTGGGCGGCTCGCTCTGGAGCCGGCGGCGCGCGCCGCGGAGCCGGGGGCGCAGGGGGCGCGGGGGGCGGTGGCGCAGCTGCCGCGGCGGGGCCGGCGGGCGCGGCCGCGGGCGGCACCGGCGCGGCCTTCGCAGTCCCCCCAGACCTCCGACGTCGTGATTTTTGTCACAGCGTCGACCCCCAGAGGTCTGGACCCCTTCCCCAGGACCGGTTCTTCATGGCGAGCTTCATCCCGAGTCGTGTCTCGACGGCCCCGATGCTCGGCAAGGGCCCCTGGAGGACGAACGTAGCTAAAAACCTCCCGTCGTATTGTTGCTCATGATGGGCGTGCGGGCATCAGGAGGAGGAGGAGGAGGAGGAGGGGGAGGAGGAGGAGGAGGAGGAGGAGGAGGAGGAGGGGGAGGAGGAGGAGGAGGAGGGGGAGGGGGGAGGAGGGAGGAGGAGGAGAGGAAAAGGAGGAGGAGAGGGGAGGAATGAGGGAGGGAGGAGGAGGAGGACGAGGGGGCCGCTTCTTGATGGCTCATGGTTCTTGATGGCTCCCCAATGCAACGCCGCTCCGAAGTTCGCATCGGGACCGCCCAGGCCGGCCCACGCAGGGAGGGGCCGCTCGGGCGCGGAACGGTTAGGAGGAGGAGGGGGAGGAGGAGGAGGAGGAGGACGAGGAGGAAGAGGAGAGGGAAGGAGGAGGAGGGGGAGCAGGAGGAGGAGGAGGAGGAGGAGGCGGCGGCGGATGAGGAGGAGGAGGGGGCGGCGGAGGAGCAACAGGAGAAGGAGGAGAACGAACAAACGAACGAACGACTCTGGGGGGCCGATCCGTGAGTCACCTACTCACCAACAAAAAGTTGGCCCCTGAGTGGCCTTTGCAGGCAGCTTCACTCGGCATCCCGCCCCTTCGGGCGCGGCCAAGTGCTCGGGCCCCAACCCGCCCCAAGGCGCGGGAGTGCGCGCTCACGGGGGGCGGCGGCACGGCTAAAACTCACAAACTACTGGCCAGCACCGCGGCCCAAAACTTAGCAAACAAAACTACCTGGGACCAAGCTTTTTCTTAGCCCGAGGTTTTGAAACTGGCCGCTCCTGGGCAGTAAATCTGCGAGAGTCCCCAGGGACTCCTTCCAGACACTCATTCTCTGCCAATCGGAACGGCTGAGGGGCCCCCGAGGAGGAGGACGAGGCAACAGCCGCAGCACTCGGGGGGGGGGGGGCGAGAGAGAGAACGGGGAGCGAGGGCCACTCTAGCCGCTAACTCGCGCAGGCGAGCAGACTGCGCCAGCGAAGGCCTCCTCGCCACCTCGCGGGCGATGGTAGCCGCGACTCTGGCGTTGGCCGCTGCAGCCGCTCGCCTCACAGTTGCGCCCCCCCCCTCCCCGCCCACGACTCCGCCCCGCTCTCCCCCGCCATGCTGCACACTAGCACTTGCGCTCTCACTCACTTGGTGATACGATGCAGGAGCTTGGCTGCATCCTTCTCAAGGGCCCCTCACGGGGCTGCCGCCATTTCCCCCCGCCCACCGTCTTCAGATACAGGACCAAGCCCTGCTCTAACTGATCGATGGCGAACGTGGGACGAAAGTGTTCCGCTTCCTGCTCTCTGGTAGCATGGATCCCGCTCGCACGTACTTGGCCTGCCAAGTCCTGCAACTCTCTCACGACCCTTGCCCACAACTCTTCGAAACACTTCTTGCAATCCGCGGGGCGCCTTAGATATGCTGCTGCTTTGATCAGTGCTGCCCACAAAAGAGGTGGGCCCAACTGAGCGGCATCGCCGCCGTTATCCTTGGGCTTCTGCGTCTGGTTGTGAGACTGCGCGCCTGCGGCCTCTGCCGCATCCACGAACAGCAGGGGCATTTAAAAAACACCCCGAAGATGCCCCTCGACCCCGCGGCATCTGTGAACAACCACTTCGTGATAATGACTACGAGCTGCTCCACAAAGCCCCCCCCCCCTTCCAGATGATTGGCCTGATTCGCCTTTTGGTCTACCATTTCCTGAGATACGGGCTGTTCGAGCATCCAGGCGGGACGCTTGCCCATGCTCATGGGCACCTCTGCGCCGAAGCCACTGGGGGCGGGCCTCCGGGCAAGGATCACTATGTGTGCGAAGATGAAACTACAGAGCCTCGCAACAGCGGCCATAGTACACGCGCAACGGACACTGGTAGGATGAAGGCGTAATCACAAGCTGAAAATTCCGAACCATCACGCCACTACACTATATTCGTGCTACGGCACGTCTATCAGCTTGGATCGCCCCACAGACAATACCCCCGTCATCGCATATCATACATTTAAGTTGTTGCTCAATCTCGACCGCGCTCATGCCTAGCTCTGGCTGCGGTCCAGGAGTGCGCCCAGAAGGGGGGGGGGGGGGGGGGGGGGGGGGGGGGGCGTGCAGCTAGAGATCTCCCCCCGAAGCTCGCGCACATCAGTGCGTGGGAATTGTTTCCCCAACTGCTCGTCTCGAAATACTTCCATGACATGAATCTCCCACCAAGAACCTCCAGTAAGTCGGGCCCCTCATCGAGATCCCCCAGGCCCCCCACGTCTTCCCAATGCACGCGCGCCCACGGGTGAGCCGCGGGGCTCAGACGACCACTAGGACTGATCGAGGACACGCAATCAACAATAGCAAATAGAGCTGCGATGACTTGACGGTGAAACTGCGGGCGCCGAGCGGGCCCCTGCAAGAACCGCAGGCGCCAGATCCGAGCTTCGAGCTCAGGAGGGACCAGCCTCCAGTAGGCCAGTGCTTCAGCATTCGAGAGAGAACGAGGATGCCGCTCGGCATGCGAGTTGCACGTCTCCCCTCGCATAGCCAACCGCGCGTAAAAAAATTAGGAAAACACGCACGTGGACTCATCTGCCTGCGACGCTCCGCCCTCGTCGGAACATGCGCCTCAATACCAGAGCACTTACCTGCAATGCAAGTGATTCGGTCACTTGAGCGGCAGGCCCAGGGAAGGAACAACAACGCCTTCTCGCAGGTGCCGAAGTGCTGCAGAAGAGCCCCTTTCCCAAGAGACAAAACATGGTATCCTGTTTGCTAACTAATATTCTGCTTGTGCCCATCCAGCGAAAGAGATCTATCAAAGTCATCATTGCAACGTCGACTTAGCTCAATAAGCCCCTGTAGTGTAGCGCACCTCCCTCCCACCAGCTTCTTAGTAATATCATCCGCATATTTAGCAAGGGGCAGGTCCTGGATCGCGCCCGTCACGGTGCAGCGAACATGCAGAAATTGAGATCGTCGACCACGCTCGCGCTGAGCAGCGCGCCAGCGCTCCGCGGCTGGGTCGAACGCGCGCGCAGTGGAGCGAGCGGCACGCCCGTCTCCCATGAGCCCCCCACTGCTCGGTCGAAGAACCTTTTGCTCATCGGAACCCCGAAGCTGCGCAACAGCCCGCCGGCATCGCTGCTCCCCGGATCCCAGGGGCCCTGGCCAGAACATACAAGGGATTGCGGCTCGCATAGACTCCCGGCCACTGGAAATGAACGCATTCGCGAGGTCGTGCGCGTTGGCCAGATGCGACGCACCTCCTCTCCGCAGATGATGCCCACTTATGTTCTGCACCGTCTGAGCCTCCCCCCTCCTGTGGAACGGAACAAAGCCACGGTCGCAATCGCCGAACTTCACTATCCCCCGTTGGTGCACGAGGCATGAAATGGAGAGATGCCCCATCGGATCCAGCAAGTGAATCCAGCGCGTTTGTCCGCCAGGTTTCGGCAGAGGGCCCTTTCACCGCGGCGCCGCCATGTCGGGGCCCACCCCGCACTTCGGACCCGCGCCAGACCCCCGAAGAAGAACTTCTGAATTCAAGAAGACGGAGACCCTCAGGCGCGGCACCGAGATCCAAGACTTTGGTCTTAGAGCGCTTGAGGGGGCGCAGAAGCAGCCGCCACAGATCGAGAGGCGGGGCCCACGATGGGCCGTCGCGACGTTTGCCCGTCTTGAGCGCAGCGCGCCTGAGACCTTCAAAAACTTGCCGAGCTGCCCTGCGCTCCTCGTAGGTCGGCACGGCGTATGGCAGAGCACGCGACAGGAGGAAGTCCATCCATCCCTCCCAGTCCGGCATCTGCGTAGCTGCCATCCCCCCCTCAGCTCCAGACCGCACGAACTCCGCTGCAAGCTCCGCAGCATGGGCAACAACCCCGCGCGCCCCATGATAACCACGACGCCTCGGCCCGAAACGAGCGCCGCCCATGTGGCGACGTAGCCGAGACGCCTCCGCTAGCTTCTGCTCTCGCCAAAGCTCGTGAACTGCGTCGGGTTGCTGCTGATGCCTCTCCCTGGCCTCCCGCCGAAGCCCTTTACCGTTCTTTATAAACAAATCGCCCAGATGCTGCACCATCCGCGCCTCGCCCCCCTCACCCCCCGCCTCCGCTAGACCTAGCCGAAGCTCCCGACGACGGCGCAGTGACTCACGGCGCACCGTCGCCATGGGGCGGCAGGAGCCCACCTCGCCTCCCAAAGAAAGCTGGCCCTCCTGGATCAGCAAGTCATTCAAATAATCGAATGCTTGATCCGCTGTAGGACATGACATGCGCCGCTCGCAGAATCCAGCCTCGCGCACGATGCGCGACACCACAGCTTCAAGAAAAGAACGACGCACAGCGCCCTTGCGCAATGCGAGCATGAGCTTGCCTAGATTCCATATGGGCTTCTCGGTGGCCACACTGACTGCCCGTGGATCAAGTATATAATCAGAAGCCATGTGAAGGAATAGGCGGCCCGCAACCGCTCGACGCCGCGCGTGCTGCAACTCGCGACTCAATCGATGCAATGGTCCACCATTTCGACAATGCTGAACAAGGGCCGCAGGGGCCGCAACAATATCAATCCAGCTAGACTCACCTCGCGGCCCATAATAAGTATGACTGAACCCTCTGTAGCTTTTCGCCACCTGAAAACCATGACGGGAAAGAAGCTGGGCAAACTCAGCCCCCGCATACACACCTTTTATCGCCACCTGCGGATCCACAGGTGTGAGATCGTCAGAAGCCCACTCGCCACTGACGTGCACCAGCCCCATACCACCATTCACATCTGCACATACCACCGGCGTCGTACGCTGCGGTAACGAAGCCAGTCGCGGAGCCAGCCTGGATATAATTTCGTGGACCATGCGGCGATATCGGGTCCACGCATGCGCATGCTTAGGCTTCGGAGGAAAATGCAGCGCCGCCATCGTGAGATCAAATATTGCAGACCGTGCTCGACATAGTAGACCCCGCCCACCAATGAGCGAAGGTGTACACCCAATACGTACCAAATGCTCAGCCTTCACTCGAGTACCCCACATAATAGAAACTCCAGCATGCATATAGGTGAGCCCGCCCGTCGTCCATCCCGCTTCGATGACAACCTTTTTTGCCACCTGCCGTCGTCGTAAAGTGGTCTCACGAGTTGCCTTGCTGCGGGTGCCGATCAGCGCGATACCGTCGAAGTTAACCGTGCGGGACGCAATATATGTCAACATGTCCAAGGAAGATGATTGCATAGGGCTAAACGAGCCCATCGTAAGAGGATACCAAGCCATAACTGTGCAAGCAAGCCGCAAGAGACAGGAAACCCTCAGCGACACGTGTGTGACATAGGGTAGTGAAGTGATAGAGCGTGAGTGTCAGGGTCGGCCAGGCCACAACCAATCTGGGCCGAGCTGGCTGAGGAGGAGGAGGAGGAGGAGGAGGAGGAGGAGCTCAAACACTTCCCGTCGCGGTTTCTTAACCGCGCGAAGGTGTCTGGGTCGGGCGGTGCCCTGCTGGCCTGGGCCATGCTGCGCCCCGCCGCCGCGCCGTCGTGCGCCGCCGCGCTCTGGATGCTCACGTGGACCGTCCCGACCACGGCCGGCGCTGCGCCGGGCGCGCTGGGCTCGGGCGGAGGCGGCCGCCATGGTGCGGGCCTCTCGATCGCGTCCGTCCAGGGCGCACACTGCTGCCTGGGCCACGCGCAAGGGCCCAGATCCCTCCTCCCCCTCCTCCTCCCTCCTCCTCCTCCTCCGGAGAAAAATCCAGATCACAACCGGTCGGGTGAGATCACAACCGGACGGGTCAGATCACAACCGTCCTGGACACGTGGGACGGGTGAAATCACAACCACTTTGGACCCTCTGAAAGCTTCTGAAACGTGCTGAGAGCCTCTGGGAGGTTCTGAGAGCCTCTGGGAGGTTCTGAGAGCCTCTGAAAAGTTCTGAGAGCCTTTGAGAGGTTCTGGGAGCCTGTGAGAGGTTCTGAGAGCCTCTGAAAGGTCCTGAAAGCCTCTGTCTGAGAGGTCCTGCGAGCCCCTGAAAGGTTCTGAGAGCCTCTGAAAGATTCTGAAAGCCTCTGGGAGGTTCTGAGAGCCTCTGAGAGCCTCTGGAAGATTCTGAGAGCCTCTGAGAGCCTCTGCGAGGTTCTG